TGCATACTACATGAGTACCTGGTGCCTGTGGAGGCCAGAAGAGGGCATTGGAGCCCCTGGAACTGGAGTTACAGATGGTTGTGAGCTACCAGATTGCGGGTGCCAGCTGGCCAAGACGAACAGCACCTGAAAGGGGGAGTGAGGATTGAAAGAAAAAACAAGAGACAGAGAAAGATACTTGGGCGGACTGTCAGTAGAGACTGCAGCCCCGGTTTATTTTATCTCAGCCTTTTTATACAGTAGAACATCAGAAATAGCCACCGTTTGCTTAACTCAATTAGCTTCAACAGCTGTTTTTCCCACCTGTATCTGAGGGTCAAGGAACGGTCAAATACTTGTTGTGAATTCTACCATTTAACCATCTTCCCTAAATTATCAACACATTCCTCCTGACTTGGCAGAATAATTAGGTACTGGTGTGCAAAACACAAACTCTTGAGTCAAGGTGAAAGATCATAAACTAAATAAGGAAGCTTGCCACAGCTCAATGTACATAATGGCTGTGCTTATACTAATAGCTCCCAACACCAGATGGGTGCTTAGAATGTAACTCAGGTCCTCTGCAAGAATAGCAAGTGCTCTTAACTGTTGAGCCATATCTCCAACCCCTCAGAAAGTTATTTATAAAATGGCTTGATTGAAATAACTATTGTGTAAAATAAATGTTAATTTTGTTTTTTAACATTCATTATGAATGTTTTCAGTATGAATGTTTCAGTATGAATGTTTTGCCCGCAGGTATGTAAGTACACTGGGACTGTGCAATGCTGGCAGAGGTCAGACAAGGGCATCATATTCCTTGAAACTGGAGTTATGGACAGTTGTTAGCCATCTTGTTCATGTTAGGATCTGAACTCAGGTCCTCTAGAAGAGCAGCCAATGTTCTTAACTACTGAGCCATCTCTTAAGCTCCTAATTTTATTATTTTTAAACATGTTAATATCAATAAAACATCATTAATTTGGGGAAAGGCTAGATTCAATCAATGTAAAACTGGGTGCAACTTTTTTTCTTCATGACCATATAGCAAAAGAACAATAATAAATTTTTGACCCTTATAGAGTACTTACTGTATGCTAGGTCATTCAGAGACCTAATTGTATTCATTTCCTCCTCAAAACGATTACCTCCATTTTGTAGATGAGATGTGGTTCAGAGTTCACCTTTCAATAAAGCCTTACAGTAGCAGCTTCTTTTTCTAGAAATAATGGCACCTACCCTTTTTCACTATGACCCTAAATTAGATGCAATGGTTTTGTGAATCCAGGGCAGCCCCAGTCAACCTCCTTGACATCACTCTGAGACTAGAAGAAACAGCCAGGCATGGTGGTGCATGCCTTTAATCCCAGCATTTTGGGAGTCTGAGGCCAGGAGATTACAAAGGAAACCCAGCCTGGACCACACTGTGAGACTTTATGAATGAATGAATGAATGAATGAATGAATGAATGAATGAATAAAAATTTAAAAATGCCAGGCAGAGTGGCATGTGCCTTTAATCTCGACATTTGGGAGGAAGAGGAAGGCAAATCTCTGTGCGACCCAGGCTAGCCTGGAGGTTCTACATAGTGAGCTCCAGGTCAGCTGGGGCTACACTTTGAGACCTTGTTTCAGAGGGAAGGACTGCAGAACCTCTGATTCCTCTAAGGCAGACTCCAGAGCATTTGCTAGGTACTAGAGCTGAGTGTAGATGCCTTCTTCAGAGCAGGATATTCCCAGATTCCCTTTGGAAAGGAAATATTTATGGAATACACCTCTTTCTGATGGCTACCAAACTTTTCTCTAGATTAGATTCTGAACAACCCTGAAGTTATACCCAGTAATGAAAAACCAAGGACATCATATCCAATCCAATACAAAACAGCAGTTAAAGGCATTCATATTTATCCTGCACAACATAGGCAATCATTCATAAGCCTTGTCCAGAAGGTTTCACAGATTTATGCCCCTGCTCACTGTTCTAATTGAGGTGGACAGTGCTGTCCTTGCGTCTCACACCTCCTCCAGATATCACAGATATCAGCCCTCTTAATGGTCCAGCAGGAGCCTGTAGCCTCCATGCCATGACTCTAGCCCACCCTGGACAGCTATTGCTATAGCTCCAGGAGGCTTGCTCTAACATCTGTCCTTTACCTGATGGGCTCCCCATCTAAGATCCTTTGGGGAAAATAGTAATGCTTGAAAAATCTGTGCTGTGTTGCATTTATTTCACTGCAAAGGGGCAGTTTATTAATACAGTTCCTCCAATGTTTTGTCTTATTCCTCAATGCAACTGCGTTTTATTGGGTGGGCAACATTTTATAAGCTAACTCACGTTAGTGACATATTACATAAATTACATGTTACATAAATGCCTGCAGATAATGTTCCTAGAAGTATGAACCTGGGATTTTACTTAGTAGACCTGTAGTTTAGAGAGTTGTATTTTCATGGTAAAATTGTAGATGACTATCATTTATCAAGAAATCATCTTTCTCTCTAGGATTATGACAATGATGGCAAGATATCTTTTGAAGACTGAAAAAGCTGTGAAAAGACAGACTTCTGTTGGAGGTGTTTGGACCTTGTCTACCAGAAGCAAAGGTAGAGTTACAAGTACTAAAAGCTCAAAGTAGTTGAGGGGAAAAATTTTTTTGTTACATTTGTGTGTGTGTGTGTGTGTGTGTGTGTGTGTGTGTGTGTGTGTAACTCAGAAGACAACTTGTAGGGGTCTGTTCTCTTCTACCATGTGGATCCTGGGGAATTGATCTCAGGTCATCAGGCTTGGTGTCAAGTGCCTTTACCTGATAAGCTGTGTTGCTGGCCCAATGGGAAGGAAATTTTAAAGGACTAGAAAGTAATACATGACAAGACTCTCACCTTTATAGCTGTGGCCCATTTCAAAAGTGTAGGCAATTATAAATGAATCAGCCCTTTCCAGTTTGGGGCCCTAATAAGACATTAGTGACTATTTCAATAATTATATATAACAGACTTTGACTGATTTAGCTTATAAGCTCTTTGACCACACACAAGTCCTATTTTAAGTGTGTCTACACTTTACCAAAGACAGAGCAAATTACCTTAAGTGACTTAAAGAATAAGGAGTAGATTAAGCAAGTACCTACTATAAACTGCTAGAACTCATAACCTCTTCCAACCCAATTGCTATCATACAATGCGTGAAAGGAAGGCTTCCTGTTTTTTTGTTTTTAAAAAACATTTTATTATTTTTATGTGTATGAGTGTATTGCCTGCAGGTACATAGGTGCACCCATGTTGTGCAGTGCCTGCAGTGATCAGAAGAGGGCATCAGATCCCCTGGAACTGGAGTTATGGACAGTTGTTAGTCGCCATGTGGGTGCCAATTAACCCAGGTCCTCTAGAAGGGCAGCCAGTGCTCTTAACCACTGAGCCATCTCTCCAGCCATTAGTGTTTTAAAACTGGAAGCCTTCTGGGCTGGAGAGATGGCTCAGTTGGTAAAGGGTTTCCCACACAAGCATGAGAACCTGAGTTCCATTCCTAGCACCCATCTGAAAAACGGCATGGTGGCATCTGCTTATAATTTCAGCACTGGGGAGGAAGAAGCAGGTGGCTCCTGGGACTTGCTGGTCAGCCAGCCTAGTCCAAATGGCAAGCACCAGGTCCAAGTGAAAGACCCTGCTCAAAAAACAAGGTGGGTGGCTCCTGGGGAATGACATTGATATTGACCTCTGGTCTATACACTAATACACATGTACACTGCTCACATGCATATGTACATGTACACACACACACACACACATTGACCTCTGGTTTATACACTAATACACATGTACACCGCTCACATGCATATGTACACACACACACACACACACACACACACACACACACACACACACACAGGGAGAGGGGTACCGATGACTAAAAATAGCTTAGCAAAATAGACAGGACTAGGGTGACCATTTAGGATGGAACAGCTAAGAGTTCAGAGGCAGTGTGGTCAGCATACCTCAGATGCTGGGAACATAGAAAAATGCAGACTCTCAGCCCTACCTTATGCCTTACTTTCCCTGTTTGGCATAGCAAATGTCCCTTTCTTATCACGGACAAATACTACAGATGTTGATGATGCTGGAGGAGTAGTTTCCCCACATTCACAGAACAAATCAGGAACCCACTCAGGAACACCATATACCAACCAGTCCTTCCCTCTGGGGCTGTAAATTTTTCGATTGTCATAAACTACATCTAATAAGAAAATTAACATCTTAATCATTAGTCTCCAAAACTCCTTTCATCTTGTAAAAGGGGAATTCTGTACTCACTAAACATTCCCTATTCTGCCTCCCATCACTACCAGACACGCACTTTAACAAGATTCTGGGGTAAAGACAGAGCACCTCAAGATCTGAGAGGCCTGATCTAGACGGCGTTTGTTCTTTCCAGCTCCAGGCCTAGATCTTTAATATATCCTTTACTTAATATTTCAGCACATAAATCTAATCATCTCACAGGCATGCAAAGCCTAACCCCTTGTTGGGTTTCCTGTAGTATCACCCAGCACTTTAAGCTATGCTAAAGAATCTGGATCAGTAAACCATGACAAATGAAGTAAACTATATTGGTTTGATATGGTCAAAATATAATACATTGAGAAAGAGGCCCTAAGGATAAGGAAAAATAAATAATCTATCACATGGTATGTGTCTTCTTAACTCATTTTCCCAGAAAATGGGAATAGCCTAAACAAAATTGGATTTCCAATTATGTCAATCTACTGACAGAAGTAAAGTCTGGATATGCTGAAAGTCTGGTGGCAGAAATCGAGAATTCCAAGTCTGATTTGTTTTTAGATTGCCATAGCTCATGCAAATTATTCTTAGAAGTTACAAAAGATGTAAATTTCTAACTTCTACTTTGTTCTAATACATTATTGGCATTTTTACTTTACAGAATTGTCTTCATTTTGAAACCCTGTTATTCGGGAACAACCCAACTTCTAGTTTTTGAACAAGAATTGCTCAGCACTTTAACTAAAATCAGATCCTGGCTGCCTTTCTTTATTTGTATTATATTTTTAAATATCTGTTTCAATTTACAAATATTGAGCTAATGTTGTATGAAAAGAACAGTTTCTGCAATATTGCGTATTGATCAAGAAAAACAGATGGGAACACATTTGACAGTTAAAGTAAAATTACAAAAAAGTTCATTTTAAAACACCAGCAGTAAAGTCTCTTAAATTAACACAGACTAAACATAAAAAAATAAATATTCTCTTCAGAAAATATTAACTTGCAAGTGATGAGCTATATTCTTCTTCTTTGTTTGAACGGACAACTTGTATGTACATCTTCCAATTTGTCCTCTGGAGGCTTTGGCACAGATGAAATTACCTAGTTTAAAAAGAAAAAAGAATTACTAAGCAGTAGATAGCAAAAACAATAAAGATTTGGGAAGAAATTAATAAATTATAAACTAAAAGAACAATACATAAGCTAGATGTGGTGGCGCATGCCTTTAGTCCCAGCACTCGGGAGGCAGAGGCAGGGGGGTTGTTGTGGGGTTAAGGCCAGCCCGGGCTTCCTAGTGAGGTCAGGTCAGCTGGGGCTACAGGGAGGTTTTTGCTTCAAAAAAAAAAAAAAAAAAAACAATACATAGAATCAACCACACAAAGACTTGCTGAAAAATAAGATTGACAAGATAGAAAGAAAGGGAGGGAGAGACAGAGACTGACCCTAAATTAGTAAACTTTAGGTGAAAATAGAGAAGCCACACATTTCAATGAAATCCAGAGAATCATTAGGGAATTCTTTGAAAATTTATATTTCAAAAAGTAGAAAAATTCCTAAGAAATGGATAAATTCTTAGGCACATACTCTCTTCCAAAATTAACTCAAGATATAAACAACTTAAATAGATCCATAACAAGCAACAAGATTGTAGCACTAATAAAAGTCACCTAAAAAAAAAAAGCACAGGGCTAGGCTCAGGGGTTAGAGCACTGGCTGCTCTTGCAGAGAACCTGAGTTCTGTTCCCAGCACCCTCATGGCAGCTAGCAACTGTCCATAACTCCAGTTCCAGGGGCTCCGACGCTCTCTTCTGATCTCCAGGTGCACTTACATGTATGCAGACAATACATTCATACACATGAAAAATTAAAAAAATATATATATATTGGAAAAAAAAGCCTATTACCTGATGGATTTACTGCTGAATTTTATCATATAAAGAAGAGCTACTGCCAATGATCATCAAATTGTTTAATAAGGAACACTATCAAACTCATTCTACGAAGCCTTTATTATTACCCTGATACCAAAATCAAATAAGGACACAACAGAAAACTGTAGCCCAATTGCTGTGATAAGCATCAATGTAAAAAATTCTCAATAAAATTCTTGCAAATTGAGTTGAAGAACATTAAGCTCATACACATGACCAAGCTGGTTTCACTCCAAGATTGCAAAGGTTCAACACAGGCAAATCAATAAATATAGCACATAGATTTACAAACAGAAATCACATGTTCATCTCAATAGAGGCAAAAAGGGCCTTTAACAAAGTTCAACATGCCTTTATTGGTAAAGCCCCTGAAGGAACCAGAAACAGAAGGAACATGTCTCAATACAAACCTATAGCCAACATTCTACATGGGGAAAAACAAAGAATTTCCTTTAAAATCAGGAATGGAGACAGGGGTGTCCACTCTTTCCTCTCTCATTCAATATAGTATTGAGAGTCTTGTCAATGGCTATACCAACCTGAACACACATATCTAAGCCACAGCAGTAAGACAAGATAAAGAAATAAGAATACAAATAGTTGGGCTGGAGAGATGGCTCAGTGGTTAAGAACACTGTTCTTTCAGAAGACCTGGGTTCGAATCCCAGCACCCACATGGCAGCTAACAACTGCCTCTAACTCCAGTTCCAGGGGATCCAACAGCCTCTTCTGTCCTCTGTGGGCATTGCACGATACGTGTGCTCTTACTTACATGCAAGTATAACATTCATACACATAAAATAATAAAATATTTGAAAAAAAAGAATACGAATAGTTAAGAGAGAAGTCAGATTATTTCTATTTACAGACTATACAACCCTATATTTAAAAGACCCTAAAGATTCTAACAGAAAACTCTTGGTGCTGATAAACACATTCATCAGAGTATACAGAAATCTACATACAAAAACCAGTAGGTTTTCTATATACAATGGACTTGTCAAGAAAGAAATCAGGAAAAGAAAATCCCATTCACAATAAATTCACAGAAACAAATAGGAGTTGGGGAGATGGCTCAGATGGTAAAGTCCTTGCCACAAAAACATGAGGACCCAAGTTCAGCCCTGCAGCACCCATGTAAAAATGCCAGGTGTGGTGGTACATGCCTATAATCCCAACACTAGGGCTGTAGACATAAGAGGATTCCTAGGAGCCTGCTGGCCGGCCAGTCTACCCAAATCATGGAGCTCCAGGCAAAAATAGTAGAGAACAACAGAAGACATTACACACACACACTAACGTGCACATGTATACACCACATACTTAAATAAACAAACCAGGAATATATCTTACCAGAGGATCAAAAGACCTTTACTGTGAAAACTTTAATAAGTCACTGAAAAAAGAAACTAAAAAAGACATTAGAAAAATGTAAAGACCTCTCATGTTCATGGATTGGCAGAATTAAAAAAAAATTTTTTTTTTGAGACAGAGTCTCACTACACAGCTCTAACAGACCTAGAACTTGCTATGTAGACCAGGCTGGCCTTGAACTCATAGAGATTCACCTGCCTCTGCATCCAGAGTGCTGGGGTTAAAAGTGTGCACTATCATGCTTGGTTCACACACACACACACACACACACACACACACACACACACACACACACACAAACAGTACACATGGTGAAGTCAGAGGACAACTTACAGGAGTTAGTTCTCCCCTTCCACCATGTGGGTCTGGGGGATCAAACTCAGGTCATCAGGCATGTGGCAAACACCTTTATTCGTTGAGCCATCTCACTGGCTCTGGCATAATACTGTGAAAATGGCTATATTTCCACAAGTGATCTATAGAATAAATATAATTCTCAGCAAAATAACAATGACATTCTTTACCAAACTAGAAAAAAACAGGCCTAAAATTCATATGGAAGTACCAAAAAACCCTGAATAGCCAAAGCAATCCTAAATAGAAAGAGTAAGAAAATTATACTACAGAGCCACAGTAACAAAAGCAGCATGGTTCTGGCATAAAAACAAGAATACAGAAAAACAGATCCCAAAATAAATCCACTCTGCTACAACCACTGAATTTTTGACAAAGATGTTAAAAACGAATTGGAAAAAAAGAGCATCTTTAACAAAGAGTGCTTGTTTGTATAACAATTTCTTTAGAGATAAAATCTTCCAATCTTAGAGGGATGCTGGGTAAAAAATGGACTATCTGAAGGGAGGTAGACAACAGGATATTCTGAGGGAAGATAAACAACAAGATGTTTTGAGGGGAGGTGAAACATTCCATCCTGAAAGGAAGCTCATTAAGCTCCTGAAGTAAACAACTCAAAAGCTTCAGGAAGTCCCTGAAATTGACCAGGTTCACTAGGCCCCTCTCTCCCCAAGCATATATAAGCCCTGAGGCCTGCTGAAAGAACACTCTAAGACCAGCTAGGACACCTAGAAGAAGCAGAGCAGCCCAGCTTCCTGGAAGAGGCTTAGATCAACTGAGCTACCAGGAAAGGACAGTCTCCAACCCAGAGCTGCCTGCAGGTTGTGTAGTATACTCCAGGTTTCCTGCTTTCCTGAGCTGTCAGCCATACTGGGTGGACTTTTGGTGATGTAACTATTTTCAAGTAATTTCTGCTCTTATAAGTAACCCCAATAAAGCTCACTGGTTCACCAAGTTGGATTTTGGTGCTATCCCTATTTTAGTCTGTCACTGGTTCCCTACCTGGGGTGAGTAGACATTTATTGGTGTATCCCCAGGAACAGTATTACACAACAATGCAAGAAAAACTGGATTGCCAATGTATAAGAATGACTATTGATCCACATCTCTTACCCTACACATACATACAAGTCAACTTAAAATAGATCAAAGACATTAAAGTAGCTAAAATGTTCAAACTGCCAGAAGGAAATGCAGAAAAAGCACAACGATTTAATATAAATCATACCTTCTTTTATGGATATCTGGATATTCATATCTGTACTGCAAAAGCATTTGGACTTTGATGTAGTCTGAAGTAACTTTGACTTAATTTTTTCTTCAATTTTGGCTTACATTAATTAGAACTACCTGGGAAACTTTAGATGGGGGAGGGGGAGAGAGGTGACATCTGGAATCCACTATCAATAGATTGATTTGACTGAGAACATTTAGTATTTTGTTTCTACACTGACATTTGTATCTGTTTATTGTTTAATGCAAGAATTACTGTCAAAGCAGTTAACTATTGATCAAAGTTATTTTAAAGGATAAATCCAAGAAAATACATTGAAAACAAGTAAACCAAATAATTACAATGCTATAGTTCCCCCACATAATTTCCCATCTAGTGGTTAGTCATACAACTGAATTATGTCCGAAGATGTTTTCTGAAATGTCCTCACCTCTTTAAGTTTATTCCGAATTAGGTTTGCTGTTGTATTCAAGGAGTCATCCTGTAGATCCACTTTAGGTGTATCTGGTAATTTAGGTCCAATCATAACTTCGTGACTGCTTGAGTTTGTTTCAAGAAAACTGCCAAGTTTCTGATCATTCTCTCTTCTTCTTTTCCGCTCCTGTAATTGTGTTGTCCTAGGCATAAATCTGCCAATTGCCTCTGAGGGAGTAAAGGCCCTCCTCACACCAGAGCAGGGCAATGAGTTTTTACAAGTGTCTGTCTGTAGTTTTTGAGAAAAGTTACTGTAGTTACGATGCTTCACTAACTCACAATGGTTTCTGCCATCACTGTAGGAGTCTGATGCTCTGTCCACATGTTCTCCACATGCACATGTACATTTTGAGGCAGAATGGCATGAAGGCAATTTACAAGAATAAGGAAAACAAGGATTTGAGTTCCCAGTAGAAGTGTTCAAAGCGGCTGCACAAAATCCAGACGTATGCGGGTAGAAATCTTGTCTAGAATCTTTTGTTTCCTTTTGCCCTGGCACCAGTTTCTTCTTTGTCATGTAATAGTCTTTAAAGTTACATTTCAAAAATTGAGGGTAAGGGAAGAAAATGGTTAGTTACTCATTTCTATCAATCAGAAACGTAATTTTAAAAACAAACTTTAAAATGCTAATACACTGTACTCCAAAAATTTCTTGAGCAGGGAATGCATTTGTATGATTTAAAGGTTTTTTGAAAGGAAACAATGGTATATAGTGTCAAGCTTTCCCTTTGCCTGGCTCCCTTCTCTTATTTACTGTATTTTATTTTGCTATCTAGCATGTCTTATTTATTGTGTCTTATTTAGCTATCTAGTGTGCTTCCTCAAGAGCCTCCTTGTCTCCCCACTTAAAAGGTAACCAGTCAAATCTTTACTTTTACATTTTCCACTTATCTAGAGAGCTCAGAGCATTTTTCCACATTATTACATAGCAATATTTTACACTTCAAAATATTCTACTATATGAAAAAATTATGTTTAGTTCATATTTGTTAGTTATTCATGGAAAAATATGCTGTGCCTACTCTTCGGGCCTGCACAGGCCTCTGTCTGGTCTGTCCTCCCAAAAGTAGACTATGCCACCACCAAAGTGGGGTATAGAAAGTGTAGCAAGTATCAGATTGTTTATGTGTGTTGATGTTAATTGCTGATATTAATATTTTTAAGTACATCATTCTAAGCTTCTCTACCATTGTACATTTTGAAATTTCCAAATTAAGCTTTTTGAAAGTGAGACGTATACAAATTCATCATGAAGATACCATACCAGTTTTCTGCATGAAAACAGCTCAATTGAAATGTCAGGTCAATCAAGTCATAACTGAAAACATCTTGTCATACTACCACTCAAAGCTAAAACAACATTCAATATAATTATGCAGGTAGGGAAAGACAAAAAGATCTGACCGGCAAGGGGAGGCAAGAATGAAGGCACTGCTAGGTTTCAAGTAGTAACTCTGAGAGGACTGAAGCAGTTAAAGAACAAGCTCTGACAGCACATAGATGTGCCTTGATCTCCATCCTGCTAGCTTGTCTCTAGTTATAGATTCTAGCCATGAACTCTGAACTTCAGTTTCCTCACCTATAAAAATCAGGACACCTATAAAAATCAGCTCAGGTCTTCTTCCCCACAGTACCATTTTGTAGCTGCCCTGCCCTTGGTACACACATAGACAAAGTTTTCCTGGTGCTAGTTACTTACATATCTCATGATGCAAAAGTCATTTTAGTTCTTAAAATGTCCAGAGATCCTCAATAACTATTTTGACCCATTTCAAGCTAGGTTTCCCTAGGGTTTCTCCACTTCCTCTCTCTTCACCACTGATCCTTGCCCATTCTCCAGTCAACCATGAAGTCAAGACATTCCATGGCTGTACAGATGTTCACATTGTCTTCCAGTTAAAGGAAATAAAGAAATCTATGATGGGAACCTCCAGTAACAGTCCAATTTCAGACCACACACAGGACCTTAGTCTACTTCTGACTGCTCTGGTCCTTTATCCAAGTACTACATTCCATGACTCCACTCCATGCAGTTGCCATTTGTGTCTGGGGAAACTCAGTTGGGTACATGGACGTTTAGCAGCTGCTGATCAAAAATGAAACATTTCCATAATGATTAGCACTTGGTAACTAGTCTGTACATAATAGTTGCTTCTTGGTGCCTTCACTGAATACCTTAGCATGGGACACATGGCAGTTCATGATTTGCCTCCTGTCTACTTTCTTAATCTCATCTCTGAAACTCCTGTGTTTTGGTTATCCTGTGTGGCTCACCTTGCCCTTTTTTCCTTTCCCCTTCTGATAACATCTGCTAAGATTCAACTAGCTCTCATATCCTGTAGGAAACCTTCCATGAATAAACATGTGTCCCTTTCCAACCCAGATTAGGACTGTGCTGCACAGACCCCTGTGGCTTACAGTTAATGAAGACTGTGATCGTTTATTTGCCTTTCTTCCCTCCAGACCAGGAACTCCATGATGACATACCTAGTAGTGCTCAACACACAGGAGGTGTGTATAACAGACTTCCCATACCTTTACTTTTAGTAGCTCTTGCAATATAGGCCTTTCTCTCTTCTAATTTTTTTCTAGTTTCTTCAACTGTCTCAAATTCTGGAGCATAGCACACATGAAGCAATCCACCAAAGAAGCTCTGTTCATCCATTTTTCTCTTGGCTATCCTAAAGAGAAATACACAATAATACACAATTGCATGTCTTCTTAATCTAGATTTACCTAGGATAAGAGCTTAACTAGTATTCAATACATTGATTTAAGGAGAAAAGTCTAGCTTGTGCGGGCAGGGGTGGGGTGGGAGGATTAAGATGCTCTGTTTTTGGATAGTCCCACTGACCTAGAAAATACTCTATTTAAAAAAAAAAGGTTTACTGTTTATGAGTATGTGTGTGGATATGTGCTCATAGTGCAGGTGCAGATGGAAGCCAGAAGAGGACATCAGATCCTCTGGAGCTGGAGTTACAGGTAGTTGTGAGATGCCCAATGTGGGTGCTGGTAACTGAATTTTGGTCCTCTGAAAGAGCAAGTGCTCTTAACTGCTAAGTCAGCTCTCCAGTTTCCAAAAAGTACTTTCAAAATCTTCCTTTTCCTCTCCCAATAGTGTCAACAGTTTTTTTATTTTTTTTTTGTCTTTTTGAAGCAGGGTCTTCCTGTAGCCCCAGCTGTCCTGGAACTCACTATGTAGACCAGGCTGGCCTTGAACTCAGAGATCCATCCACCTGCCTCTGCCTCCCAAGTGCTGGGACCACAGGCATGCGCCACCACACCAAGCTCCACACCCGGCTTAAATGAACTATTTTTAAAAAATT